CCTGACATGCTGTTGTACATCTTGAGTTTGGCCTTTTATATTGCTGAGTAGAATTCCATGGCATGGAGGAACCACATTTGGCTATCAAATTCATTTGTTCATGGGCTGGGGATGTGGCTCAAGTGGTAGCGCGCTCGCCTGGTATGCGTGCGACCAGGGTTCGATCCTCAGCACCACATACCAACAAAGATGTTGTGTCCGCCGAGAACTAAAAAATAAATATTAAAAATTCTCTCTCTCTCTCTCCTCTCTCACTCTCTCTTTAAAAAAAAAATTCATTTGTTCATGGTCATTCAGGTTTTTATAACCTGGAACTGTTATGAATAACGCTTATATGAACACTGATATGCAAATCCTGTTATTGACATGTTTTTATTTCTGTTGGAGTTGAATTGCTGAGTCATAATAGGGAAGCATATGTTGAATTTCATAAGAAGTTGCCAAATGCTTTTCCCAATCGTCATGGCTATTTTATATTCACAAAAATCAGTGTATAAAAGTTTCAGTAACCAATTTTTAAACTATTTTAATCTCACTAACCAATTTTTAAACTATTCTTAGTTGACTTTGTGGGTTTTCTTTGGAGTGCCCAATACTTAACCACTTTGAGTACATAAACATSTGCTCATTGGCCATTTGTGTATGCTTAGAGGGCATCTGTTCACGTCTTGTCCCATGTTTGAACAGGTTTGTTTGTGTCGTTGTGCCATATATGGTTATTATGAATACAAGTCCTTCATAAAAGAGAGGTTGATATATTCTTACAGGCTCTTACCCACTTCTTTTCTCAAGTGGGTCATTTGAAAAACAATCAGTTATTAAGTTACTTATCATTTTTTTTTATAGTTTGGGTTTTTTTTCCTCTAAGAAATCTTTGCCTAACCCAAGTTTACAAAGATATTTTCTTCTGGAAGCATTTTGTTTTAGCTTTGAAATTAAGATTTACAATCCATTTTTAAATTAGTTTTTCATGTGGTGTAATGTAAGAATTGAGATTTAATTTTTCCACATGGATACCCATTGTGTCAACACCATGGAAAGAATATTTTTGCCTCCATTGAATTATGTTGATGCTTCTATCAAAAATGAGCTGATCAGATGTGTGGGTCTACTTCTAAAGTCTCTTTTATTTTTTATTTTCTTTTAGTTATACACGAACACAATATCTTTATTTTGTTTATTTATTTTTATGTGGTGCTGAGGATTGAACCCAGGGTCTTACACGTGCGAGGCAAGCACTCTACTGCTTAGCCACAACCCCAGCCCCTAAAGTCTCTTTTCTATTGTATTGGTTTAACATATTTCTCTTTACACCAACAAGATGCAATGTTAACATATTTCTCATATTAACATATTTCTCTTTATGCCAACAAGATGCAATGTTATAAACCGTGGCTTTAGAGGAAGTCTTCAAGTTGTGTTAGTTCTCTTTGTTCTTCCTTTTAAAAATAATTTGGGCACTCTTCCCTTGATTGCTAGTTGGATTTTGGAGTTAGCTTCTCAATGTTTGCCAGGAAAAAAGCATGTGATTGTGATTGAACCTGTAATCTTGAGACAAACTTGACAGTCTAAAGTGCTCAGCATGGTTGGTGTACATTCCTGGTTTTTCAGGTCGTCTTCAATTTCTCTCTGAAATATTTCAGTGTTCTACTTTCTATTAAATTTATTCCTGAACTTGTTATGATTCACTACTGTGTTAAATTTTGTCATTATAAGTGGTGTTTTTATTGTGGACTTGCTTTTACTCTTCTCATGTATGTCTAGACCCGTGTCTGCTTGCTGACCTGCTGCAGGAGACTGGTGAGTCTTGGATGCTGAGAGGCCTTGCAGTCCCTACACAGAGTGCAAGTGCTCTTGAATGACGTCACTGGCACCTTCCTGGACACTGTGTGTCCCTCCTTGCCTCCCTATCCCAGTAATTCCTGAAGGGCTCTGTTGAGCAGCGGGAACAGACTACCCAGCCTGGTATCGAAGCCTTTGGCAGTAAGATATGATGGACGCCGAAGAGAAGAAGAGCTGGAGGATGCGCTCTTCTGTGCCTCATCATGGAAAAAAGCAGTGGATTTCATGCGGGGTTTCCTCTTCAACTCAGGTGATTAGTACCATTCATCCTTTGAGCAACTAGGTAGTGTCTTCTACTTCTGTATCTATTTATAAAGTATACCTTTCAGGGTTAATTTTTTCCCTCAACAGTYCATTTTCTTTTCTATGAAAAGACAGATACAAAGCCTTAATATTCAGCATTTCCGTTGCTCTTCGTTTCTTTCTGCACCTCTGCTGTGTCTTCAGTTCTAATATGCTCCTGTCTGGGTTGAAGATATAGGTGGGATCTGAACCATAGTTCTTCAGTGTTGCCGCTGCAGTCCTCATGCTGAGGCCTGGTTGTCCCTCCCTGTCTGCTCCTGCTCTGTGTGCTCCTGATAGCCTCTGCTTTTAGGTTGTGTGGTTTTCTTGAGAAAGTTCACCTTCACTCAGATCTCCTCTGTCTCCCCCTTTCTCTGGCCTTGCCTGTGGTTCCATTTCCTCTCTGGCTGGAACAGTACCTCCCAGTGACAGGAATGCATGATGCTGTTTTGGTTTCTGCTGCTCCCAAAATTCCTGTGACAAATCCCAGGGAATGTGGAGCCAGAATCTCTACAGCACTTCCACTAGCATGGGTCTGGCCAACATGGTCTCCCTGCCCTCTAGCAATGGGTGTTTCTGTAGGCCTCTCCTCTTCAGCTCTCCACAACATGGCAGGAAATAGGCTTTCCAGTGGCCCATGTGTGATGTCAGCTCTCGTGGCCACTCAGGGGTGCCATGGGCCTTTTCTCTGCATCTTCTGTATTCCACCAGGTCTCTAGCTGGACAGTGGGGACCAGTTTCCAGGGTGTGGTACTTTCTTCTTTGTGGTGAGTTTCTTGGAACTCTACTCTGTCCATAAAAATTCTGGAGGTGAGGGAATTACCTCTTGGGAAAGAACTGGAAAGGAATTGCTCCCTGCTGAACAAACAATCCTCCCCACCCCATAATTGCTCTTGCTCCCTTTCCCCAGTAATCTTTTTACACAGCTTGCTTGTTGTGTGGTGATGGTGGTTGGCAGGGCCTGTTTGGCTGGTGGCCAGCTGTCTTTATGTGGCTTAGATTGGCATATAACTGACTCTTATTTTTGGATGTAGCTCCAAGGCAACAGTGAAAATCTCACTCAGTATCTTATTGTGTAACCAACAGTCCAACTCTGCCTTCTCCTGCAGCTGTCCAAATATGAGCACAAAGCTTTCAGGACCTTGAAGAGGTGAGAAGCTCTGAAGTGTGCTGCACSTGGGTCGCAGCCTGGGGGTAGCAGTGTGGTATGCAATGGTGCAGAATAATCACAGGCAGCACTCCCGTACTCACTGTGCAGAATGTGCACAAGCATAGCAGAGAAAATGGTGCTTTCTTTAGGGGGCAAATGTGGTATCCAGGAAGGAGGATGAGTGGGGGGAGGGAAGCATGGCAAAAGGGGAGGGCGAGGTGGACAGGACCTGGGGGAGGGGGCCTGTGCACACAGGGAGCCACTCCTCATTCTTGGCTCCCATGGACACAGCTAGGACAAGCCACGTGGCCCCTCTAGGGGAGGGCTTGAGGCCGGCAGGCTTCCTGCACTCTCAGAGCCTCTCTTCCAGGGTTGCTGCCCATGGCCCCAGGATCCAGATGGGGTGGGGGGATACAGGAGGGAGGGAGAGAGCTTTCCAGTGCACCAAGCACTGCCCACAGACCTCTCCAGTGCTCCCTTGCCCCCACCCACACCTGGCTGTCAGTTCAGAGCATAAAACAAATTTGTTAATCCAGACTGCCTCTGACAGAGCGAAAGCAGCAAGCACTGTTCTCGCGGTAAGAACCCTGCCTTTGTAGGTAAGTGCTGCTCACCATGTGTGTCACTAAAGGTTTAATCTTCACTTTAGACTCTAAATCAAGCTGACCTATAGCAGAGCCTTAGATTGAGCTGCTTTGTGCCTGACCTCATCTCCCTTTTAATGCTAACCTTCTTCCTGTAGTTTTCCCACCAAAGCCTTATTGATAGCAATTCATTTATGTTCTGTACACATGTCCTCCTCTGAGCTCTGAGTTAAGTTTTTCAAAGATCTCTAAGGAAAGGAAAGACATATCCTGGCCTATTAGTGCCACTGAGTTTGGCTGAGGTGAAGTTAGTGCAGATTTGGGCATCAGGGTGTATGAAGGGTGGAAAGAACCTACAGTCTGAGAAGGTGGGTGAGGGTGGAAGAGGAACTCATGCCCCAAGTGACTCCCCAGTTCCACCTGAATTGCTTATTGTTTATGCTGTTCTATTTTGCAATTGTAGATCCACTTTGCCCACTCTTTGAGATGTTGATCGTTCAGATTTTGCATGAGTTTTTAGACTCCAGAGTGGAGAATCTTAAAGTTACTTGAGAGTMGGAACTGTCTTACAACTGCCCTCAGCCCTCAAGAGGGCAACTGGTCCCCTGCAGAACCACAGACTGAAGGAGCGTGTGTGTGAGTGGATGAGCCGAGGGCCAGCATGTCCGAGCCTAGGTGCTCAGATGCCTTCAGGTCTCTGAGAAAGCTCTTTGGGAGTAGGAATCTTTAGAGAAGAGTAGAAGGGTTTCTTGTTCTGGGTGAATAATGTCTTGTATATGTAGAAAGCTTCTATCCACATACTCTCCCCCTGCTGCAAAAAGAGTTGTTCATATTTCTCAATTGATCTTTACACAGAGCAATTTGATTTGGGCCATGTAGGGAGCCCTCTGTCTACCATTGTTTTTCAGGCCAGGAGGCCAAGGATAGGGAAATGACCTGATCTCCCACCCCCATCTTTCTAGATTCTGGAAACTCCTACTCTAGTCAGTGTTTCCTGACAATGTGGCCTGACCTGACTGGGCAGCTGTGTTTCAGAAGCACACAGGCTTCAGTGCGGCATGACCAAACAGCAGGCCCTGCTCTGTCAGACTGTTTGCAGTACATGGAAGAACCTTGTTTATTGTCTCTAGACAGTGAGGAGAATGGAGAGGAGTACAGTCAGGGGATCACTGCATAAGCACTTGGATCTGGAGAGGAAGATCGCCAAGCAGGCTGAAGCCAGACTCCGCCAACGACTGCAGAGTCTAGAGGATATCTGCCTCTACCACCTGAAGCTGTTGATCAGGGAGCAAAGGCAGCTCCAGAGAGAGCAGCAGAGGCTGCAGCAAGGTGAGGCTTCCTGGCAGTGTGGGCTGCTATAGGCAACACCAGGRTTCTTCTGAGGGAAGAGTGATGCTCTCACTGCTTGGCAGCCATTTGGGGCCCTGGACCCAGGACAGCAAGAGCTTCCTATCCTGGTCAGGGCTTCCACATCCCTCTGCCTTCCCTAGTCCCACAACTGTACTGAACRGCCCACTCAGAAACCTTGATTTCCAGTTGCTGTCCATCTCCAGTTTTCTCTCTCTTGCCAGAACTCCACTGTCTCAAGCAGCTTCACCTTCTGCTTTTCTCCCGCTCATCTGAGTTTGGTTTCACCTCTCTTGATGTGTCTTCTTTCATATCTGAGCTAACAATCTTGATTGAGCAGCTACTAAGGTTGAAGTCCCAGTACCAGTCCTATTTATAAAGGAAGAATAAAGTAGTTTGGAATTGTGACCTCAGTTTCCTCAAACATGCCATGGAAGTGATTCTGCCTAASTTGTGAAGCTATTCGAGGATTTGGYGAGCACTTGGAACACACCTGGACACAAAGCAAGTGCTGGGGAATCACTTCTTCTCACRAAATAGTACAGATTCATTACAGACCTGAAACTCTCCTGCTATATTGTTGAACATTGTTAGAGTTATAGAGTTTGTAGAAACTAGTTCTCCTTCATTCATCATTAAAATAATTAGATTTTAATATTGCTTCAAAATTTAGCATAGAGCAGATGAATCCAGCTCTTCAGGACAGCCTTCTTGTCAAATGCAGGTGCCAAAACCCAGGGGCACAGAAGAAAGCAGTTGCACACAGAGTAGAAAGTCCTCAGGTCTGCATAGTTTAACGTAGTCATGGAAGCCAAGAGCAGGTCCAGACATCGGGCCAAGCTACATGTAATCACTTCTAGTCTCCTTGGGATTGAAGGGTGACTCTGAGCAAGCAGTGGAGCTTTCTTTTCTGTCTCTTCAGCGAATACCTAAACTACCTAGAACAAGAGCAGGGCCCAGGAAATGCCCTTGAGGACACTGGTTGATTTCCACTGATCGCTAGAGGCTGTGGTGACCCAGTGGCCACTCTCAGGAGGACGTCTTGCTGAGCAGTTGCCTCGGCTGCAGGTGTGTGGTAGAGTATGGACCAGGAGGTAGAGGGCCCCATACCAGGCCCCATCTCCATGTTCTTTGGAAGGTCATACTCTCTCTCAACTRAGAACAGTCGAAAGGGGTAAAGGGAAGAAGAGACATGGTTTGTCTTGGTGCTTTTCAGACACTAGTTAGCAGTGTTCTTCCGTGGTCATTTAACACTCTGTGCCAYTGGTGGCTTGTTTAAGATGCACATCGCCAGGTGCCTCAGAGATTTGAATTAACAGGCTGGAAATTTAAGCTCAAACATCCAGTTTTTTATGGATACCAAGGCAGATTGTTCTGGGTAAGGTGTTTCACAGATCACCTTTACAAAACACTCTTATGGTTACTCGGAAGCTGGAATGGAAAAACGTGGTTTTTGCTCCTGAGATGTTCATATTTAGATTGGAAATTAGCTGTGCTTACAAAAAATCAGAATGCTAACTGCTAAATTAGAATTACTTACAAAGTTGGGCAGGAGCATTGGAAGCTCCTGATGTCTGTCAAGGGCCCTCAGGAAGCTCTCCTAAAATAGGTGGTGTGTGAGCAGAGCCTGGAGGAGAAGGGGTGAGGGGATAGGGCACTTGTCAGGAGGGCAGGAAGGGCCAACCCTTGCAGAAACCTGCAGTCTGCATGAGATGCGAAGTGAGCGCAGCTTGCACAGTGCTGCAGTAGGGTAGCTGCAGGAGGCATGTGCGGCTTGCTGGAGGCAAGGCAGGACAGCCAGCATCTCCAGTCACAGACAGCTCCACAGGTTTTGCAACAGAGGCTTCCCCTGCAGGGCTGGGAGTGGGGAGATCACCTGCTCACATGTTGGGGCTCACTCTGCCCCCAGGTGAAGTCAGAGCAGATCTGATACAGTTCCAGAGTGCAGGCATGACCTGAGGGCTGAACTCAGGCACTGGTCAGCCTCCCAAGGTATTTAGCAAATAGAGTTGTGAGAGGTTTATGATTAATATCCTGTCCAAGGAACCAAGATGCAGACTCGTGGACTGGCTGGCTGGATGTGAGGAGGATACAGGGTCTGCCTCCACAGAGAGTGTGCTGGGGAGATTCTCTACAACATGCTGCAGAGAATCAATAAGCTCTTTCCTGGACCTGCCAGCCCAACAGATCTGAGCTGCAGACATGTGGCTTGGCAGGAGGAGCAGCTCCCCATTCCTTAGTTTACAGGGAACAGGTGAGTTCCCCAAGGAGACTGCCAAAGAAGAGTGGCCCACAAAGGAATATCTCTTGTCCCAACTGCTTCACAAAGAAGTGATCAGATTGCAGAGATTAGAAGTTTAATGTGAATTCTTCATCCCCACCTGGTACCTGCTGACCACTGTTCTGCCTGTGTGTGTTCTGTCTTCATTTCTTGTGGCATGGGGATCAAACTCAGAATTTTGCATAGGCAAGGAAAGCACTCTGCCACTGAGCTGTGTGCTCAGTGCTAACCGCTGCCCTCAGGGGACTCACTCTCTTTAAAGCATATTATTCCAAGACTCTCATCCTCAAGTGACCAGCTTGTTGTCTTGAGAACTTGGTGGTTCCCTGTGGCAGTTAGACCATAGGTGAAGAGATATCCCCTCAGCCAGTGGAGTCCCCTTGATCATGGCTGGCGGCTGCAAACTCCTGCCATCGGTGCACAGGTCACATAATTGCAGTGAATGAGACAAAAAGCTCACACCAGTTATTTTGTCTTTGAAAACACTGTGCTTGCCAAGTAAACTTCCATGGGCCTGGGCTGTTTAAACTCTGCTCTTGATGTTTATAAATCCTCTCCAACATGGTATGTATAAACACTGAGAGCTGCACAAAGGTTTTCTGTTTCCTTGGTTATGCCAGATCAGCCCGGCATGTGATGGGAAAATGCCACACACTGGAGCCTTGTTCCCAGAATTTCTTCTCTTGTGTGTTCTCCAGGGCTCCCTAACAAAGCACAGCAAGTCAGGTGACTTAACAGAAACTTCATGATCTCTTGACTCAGGAGTCTGGGAGCCAAAATCAAAGTGTGTGTGGGGGGGCTGCCCCTTGCACAGGTGGGTACTGGAGAGAAGAAGGGCTGTGACCTCTCCAGCAGGTGGGGGGCTGTCCTCTCCCCGTGTGTTCCACAGGGTGCCCTCCTGTGTCCCAGGCGTCTCAGTTCAAATGGATCAGGACCCACCCTGAAGGCCTGGCTTTATTGGACAGAGCCTGAGGGGTGAAGCACTGGGGCTGGGCCCACAACGCGCCACGTTATGGAGCACAATTTCTCCCATGAACTTTTTCATTAACTCAAGGCAGATATTGTCAAGGTGAGACTGTCTTCTCTGGGGAAYGGAACTCAGAAAAGGCCAGAATGTGTCCTCAGTTTCCCACCACAGCAAGGACAGAAGCACAGACCTCCAAAACATGAAGTCAGGTAAGAAGGTACTCATTAAATGCATGAGTGTGACCCTGAATTCCTCATCTCCTGAGTCAGTGAAATGTGCTTCTTTCCCCGAGGAAATGCTGCTTTCCTCTGCTGAGACAGACACGTCCGCTCACCAGAGCCTCCATTCTCACCTGCTTCCACTCCCACACTCCCGTGACTCAGGAGACTCCACACTGATGGAGCTGCCATACAGTGACCCAGAAGTCTAAATGTGAGTCTTCTCAGTTTCCAGAGATCTGTCTTCTTCTTACCTCTTTTCCCAGAGCATTGGCAACCAACACGACCCAGGAAATGTACAAAATCAAGTCCCAGATGCCTCCTTTATGTCACACTGGCCTCAAAAACCCCACCAGGAGAAAAGAGAACTGGAGATCTCAGAGTCACAGAACTGCCTGCTTCATGGCAGAGAAGCTGCCAGCCCAGGAGAAAGAGTCTGTAATCCCACCTCAGGGCATAGACCCCAACAAGGACACCTCCGTGGCACATCAAGACCAAATGGCTTCCAGCAGTACCTGTGGTAGTGGAATGGTCAACCTTGATGAGATTAGATCAGAAGATGCCAGTCTAAAGCCATGTAGGAATGCTGTGGAACAGCTTCCCCCACATTCTATGGAATGTGCAGGAGGCTGCAAAGGTGAGACCACAAAGCCAGCCTTCTCAGAGTTGTTCGCAAAGGTCAAAAATGCACGCTATCTCCGGCACAGGGTCCTCCCTCAGTCTGAGAGGTTGCTTAGCATCAGGGAGATATTCGGGTGTAGAAAATCTTCACCTGAAGATCAGGAAAGGATTGTGAAAATGGTACCAACTAAGTTCCCTCCTCTCTAGCTAATTTGTATAACCTGCTCATGGCATGTATCAGAACCACTAGAGCATGTGCTCCTTAAGTGAAGCAATGCGGAGCACTTGTATTTCTAATCTATTGATTCCACAGCACTTGTATTTCTAATCCGTTGACTTCATTTAGAGCACTGTGATCTTTCAGTGAACCACACTAGTGAATGGGTAACACATAGAGGAATGAATCTTCTGAAAATACTTGAATAATCAGCATGCACTTCTAATGTCAACTAAAATGTAAATATATGYTGATATTGAGGGAGAAAGAGTGATTTCTACTTTCATTGCCTCTCATTCCTAGGGGAGGTYATTGTGGCACCACCTGCTGGAAGAGGCATAGTCCTCCCTGTTTTATGGTCGATGGTGGCAGGATAGGGGCACCACTGAGAATGTGTACCATATGGTCTATAAATAAAACTTGTTCCAACTTTGKGCTTTTTTTGTACTGGGGATTTTTTTTTTTGTACTTTGTGCTTTTTTTTTTGAACTCAGGGGCACTCAACGACTGAGCCACATCCCCAGCCCTATTTTGTATTTTTATTTAGAGACAGGGTCTCACTGAATTGCTAAGTGCCTTGCCATTGCTGAAGATGGCTCTGAACTCGGGATCCTCCTGTCTCAGCCTCCTGAGTGGCTGGGATTACAGTCGTGTACCCCCATGCCCAGCTTGTGCTCATTTTTGAGGTACTGTCCTTCCTCCCTTCCCTTCTTCCTTACTTTCCTGGTAGGTCCATTTTATTTTTCTTTTTTCCTCTTTCAAAGACGTTACATAATCTCCTCCTTTTCTGTGCTCTAGAATCAAAAGATTTCAAAACTTTTTATTCATTTCTCAGCCCAATATCAAATACTCAAGAGAATCTATCAAGAACCATCTCACCACAAAATAAGGTTACCAACTACTTTAAAAAGTTATTATTTCTGGATGGAACTGGAGACTATCATGCTAAGTGAAATAAGCCAATCTCAAAAACAAAAAGGCTGTATGTTCTCTYTGATATGCGGATGCTAACACACAATAAGTGGTGGTGCGGGGAGGGTAGGATAGAAAATTATTGKATTAGACAAAGGGAATGAAGGGAAGGAAAAGGGATGAGAATAGGAAAAACAGTAGAATGAATCGAACAGAACTTTCCTATGTTCATATATGAATGTATGACCAGTATAATTCCAAATAATGTACAACCACAAGAATGAGACCCTAATTAGAATAAGCTATACTCTATGTATGTATAATATGTCAAAATACACTCTACTGTCATGTATATCTAAAAAGAACAAATAAAAAATGGCAAAAAAGAGAAATAAGATAGAGCATTTTATTTGCCAACTATTCCATACTGTGGCACATACAACAAATAAAAAATATTTGTGTGGCATAAAGAAGGATTATTGTTTCATGCAGGTTTCTGTGGCTTGGGTTCTTTTATAAATGAATCTAGTGGACATTGCTGAAAGTCATCAGCTTTTCATTGCTGTGACCAAAGTATCTAACAAGAACAACTTATAGGAGGAAGAATTTAGTTTGGGCTCATGGATTCAGAGTTTCAGTTCATGGTTAGCCGACTCCATCAATATTTGTATTTGTATTGGTTACAAGAAGAACCTTGTGTGTGGGATTGTAGGTCAGGGGTAGAGTGGTACCTGGCATGCGTGAGGACCTGGGATCAATCCCATGCACTATGAAGTAAAACAAAGAAGCAAAACACAGACTTGAAGAGCTACAGTATAAATTAACCACCTTTGTCAATAAGTAGGTGACAGGTAAAGGAAGACTTAAGATATATTAACCAAATGCAATAAATGCTCCTAATTTGAACCCAATTTGTGTCCAACTATAAAATTTATTTGAAGTAGCTAGAGAGATCTGTGTATTAATTGGGTATTAGATATTAAAGAATTATGATTATTTTAAATTGTGGCTGTATTAAGGACTTCTTTCTGATACATGACTACAGTATTTTAGAAGAAACCTGATGATGCTGGGGATTTGCTAAGTGAGTCTATTCCCAGTGGGGTGGGCCATCTGGCAAGTACCACAATGGTGATGGCTGCATGGACAGTTTCTTGGCTGCAGTACCCATGATCCCTGGGGTACTAGGGCCAGCATGTGGCCTACAGCTCCTAGGGGCCATACACTGAGGGTCATGTGGGCAGAATGCTGGATGGCATTACCCAGAATCCTCTGGGGCCCACAGTTCCCAAGAGCCTCTGGTGAGAACTGCTTAGGCAGACCACTACTGCCCAGAATTAATGGGGGCTCCTGGCAACCGTGTGGCCTGCAGTTACCAGAGGCCTTTGTGTAGGATTCTTGGCTGGGCAGGCAGTCTCTGGGATAGATATGCTACTCTGAATTCTCAGTGTACCAGAGGCCTTTGTAGAGAATACTTGGCTGGGCAGGCAGTTGTGGGATGTACTTCGCAGAATCCTCAGTGTACCAGGGCAGGCACACAGGCCAAAGCTTCCAGGCCCCTTCTTGGTGGGTGCTAAGCGGCAGAATCCTGGACTACACTGCCCAGAGTCCCCAGGATGGTTTGTGAGAATGCAGCAAGCAGCTCCCAGGAGAGTCTGGGGTGAGAGCTGAAAAGGGCAGAATACCCTGCACTACCTAGAATCTTCTGGGCCTGCCGTTACCAGAGCCTTCAGTGAGGGCAGCATAGGTCAAATTATAGACTGCTTTAGCTCCGGTGATCCTCTGCAGTGAGTGGGCAAAACACTTGGCTACATGACTCACAACCCTCAGAGGCTGTAGCTCTAAGGATCCTCTGTGGTAACAACAGTAGAGCAGAGAACTTAACTCTACTACCCAGAATCATTGGAAGGTGGTGTTGTCTAGGTGAGTGTGCAGCCTGCAACTCCTGGAGACCTCACAGTGAGGGTTGTGCAGGCAGAAAGCCAGATTATACTATCCAGAATCCCTTGGGGCCTGGTGTACCCAGACACCTCCCTATTGAGGGCTGCATAAACAAGCTTTGTATTGAGTACCTAGATTTATCTGGGGTGTCCAGGAAGATCACAGGAGCTTTGATGGTGAGGTCTACTTAGGGAAGATGGACTGCATTGCCCAGAATAATCAGTGGCCCACATCTCTCAGAGACCTCTGARGTCAGGGCTGCCTCAGTAGAATGGAGACTACAATATCCAGAATTCCTGGGGCTCAGAGGTGTCACTATAGTGTAGTCTGCATCAACATAGCACCATACCACAATGTCCCTGATCCTTGAAGCTTTGCAGCCCCCAGAAACCTCTGTAGTGAGAGCTGCATGAGCAGAACACCAGAATACACTTCCCAGAAAACCCAGGGGCTTCCCTGTGATGAGGTAGCCTGCAGCTCCCAGGGGCTCTACAATGGGGGCTGTAATGTGGAATATTGGACTACACTAGGCAGAATCCTGGGGGTATGTGCTACTTGCAGCATCCATAAGCTTCTGGGGTGAGGGATACACGGGAAAAACACCACACAACACTGCCAGGGTCTGCCAGGGTGCTCGTACCGGCATGTGGCACAAGTTCTCAGGTCATCTGTGGCAAGGGCTAAATGGCCAGAAGAGCAGATTACACTGGCAGGGTCCTCCAGGGTTCCTGGACCAGCACATGGCACACAGCCCCCATGGTCCTCTGTGACAAGGGCAGCGTGGGCAGAACACCAGATTACGCAGTCAAGAATCCCTGGGAATTCTGAATGAACGTGTAGCCTGCAGATCCCAGAGGCATCCACAATGAGAACTGAATTATCTAGAAGGAATTATCTAGAATGCTCCAGGGCACGGGGATAAAGCTGATGTTCCCAGAGGCCACCAGGAGGTTTGATCTGAAGTCAGGCTCTCCTCACCTCGACAGAGGCCACCATTGACTTCGATATAACTTTTTTTTTTTTTTTTTTTGCACCAGGTATTGAACACAGGGATGCTTAACAACTGAGCCACACCCTTTTATTTTTGATTTTGAGACAGGGTCTTGCTAAGTTGCTCACTAAATTGCTGAGTCTAGCCTTGAACTTGCAATCCTCTTGCTTCAGTCTCCAGAGCCACTGGGATTGCAAGTGTGTGCCACCACATCCAGCCATAACTTTTTTCCTTAAAAATCATGATCCTCAAATTGGGCAGCCTGTTGCCAAGTCACTCTGTCTCAAAGACCACACTGCCCAGAGACCTCTGCAGTGGCTTGTTTCTGGTGTTCTGCTTTTGGGTGCATGAGTGAAGTGTCTGGGGGACTCCTGCAGCTGCCGATGTCTGCCCACCTGGCCCCTGGCTGCAGCAGCACTTGGCCTGGTGGAGCACAGGGCTGTGGTGCAGGTGTTAGGTAGTAGCTAGAGATGAGCAGTGAAATGCAGGCAAGGTCACAAGTGTTCTTTAAATTACTTTAGGGTCTTCTTTAAACTACTTCCAAAGTAGATGAGAATGCAAAGGGTGGTAGTTGATTTGTAGAAAATAAACAGAAGCAAAGGAGCTAATGGGAAGACATATCAAGAAAGAAGGATTAAAAATCATGGCATTTGCAGGTAAATGGTTGGAATTAGAGAAGATAATGCTAAGTGAAGTTAGCCAATCCCCAAAAACCAAATGCCAAATGTTTTCTTTGATATAAGGAGGTTGATTCATAGTGGGATAGGGAGCGGGAGAATGGGAGGAATAGACGAACTCTAGATAGGGCAGAGGGGTGGGAGGTGAAGGGAGAGGACATGGGGTAATTAATGATAGTGGAATGTAATGATCATTATTATCCAAAGTACAGGTATGAAGACATAAATTGGTGTGAATATACTATTTTTACAACTAGAGATATGAAAAATTATATGTAATAGGAATTGTAATGCATTCCATTGTCATATATAAATAAAAAATAAAAATAAATAAAAAAGAAAGGATTAATGGGACTAGCTCTTGACAGGGTCCACTGAGATTGGTGTGAAGCTAGAAATTATGGCTAAAGTTGTCTCCATTTGTGTGGGAAGGAAGTTTCCTTTAGTAGCTCAGCGCACTCAGGTAACT